TTACTTCAGCTAAGACGAGAAAAAACAGCCCTATTTGACGAGAGAGGACAGCGGCAAACCAGAAATATGACAGAAAGGGCCGAGTTCACTTAGTGCGGCCTCCCAGGGACTTAACTGGCATGTATATCGGGGCACGCTCAGCTGCATAAATAAGTGTTCGGGGAAGATTAAGATCTATAAGTGTCTCTATTTCTCGTTTTACCTGCCCCTCCTTGTCACAACAGGGATCTGAATGCAGTTCAGTGAAGTGCCTAATAACCAGAGCAGTAGGTAGGAAAGGCAGGAGGCTTGACATTAAGACCCTGGCGTTTTGGAAATCCGATATGCTATTGACCCGTGTACTACTATCTCAGCGTAGAGATCTGGTGTCAGCAGATTGTAGTCTGGTGTTGGGAGCCGTTTCTTACAGGGCTCTTGTAACAGGGGCCCATTGAGTCTGGGAGGCAGCTGGGGCCTGATGGGCTAGAGCTGGGTGGTGATCGATACTCACCACCCCGCAACGGATGACCTCACTGTCATGGCTGCCGGCTGTGGACACTGCATGCTAGTCATTAGTACCGGGGCACCAATCAGGAGCTTAGACTTGTCAATACCTGCCTCTTACAGATACTGTGGCCATCTGTCAGTGTATTGTGTAACGGCCTGAGTAAATACAGGGAGCTCTTTTGAACAATAAGAACAAGGTGTACTTTCAGTGGGAAAAAAATTGCTTCCCAGGAAGTAATTAAGAAATGACAGAAATTAATGTAGACAGAAATGGATATACAAATTTTTTTTTATGTTTCAGATAATAATAATAATAATAACAAAAATCCAAATATTCAACCTATTTAAGTAAAATGCATTTCTATCAATGGCTCTGGCATGTGAATAGGGTCTCTCAGGTTTAAGCCAATAAGATGCACTGAATTCTTAAGACCCGTAACTGATATCCTGGCTTTGAGCCAAACTTATTTAGAAATACACTTTACAATGACTATTATGCAAAACAAAAAACATGTTCACTCATTTGGTTGCAAACACATAGCAATATATGCCTTAAAATACTGAGTTACTAGTCATATTTTAATAAATTGATCATCTATTTGCCAAAACATATTTTTTAGTTATACTGAAACTGTTTTTTTTTAATACACTATATTCAAAATTAAAAATGAATCCCTAAACTTAATTTATACATCTTTAGAGTCAGCTATTGCTTTTTGTCAATTACAATGTTGTGATCATTTGGAGAAAAACTGAAAAAAAAAAAAAAAAACAGATAAGGTGGCCATTTTCAATAAAAATTTGAATAAAAATTCAATAAAATACAATGTTCATTTGAATTACCAACGTTTCAAAGTTTATAATAAAAATAGATTATGGTGCTTCAGAGACAGATAATATATATAGGTTGCAAGTAAAGCTGAATGTCTCAAGAAAAAAAAAAAATATTTTTTTTCTTTTTACATTTCTACGTCATGGGATCTGTGCTTTCCCAAAAAAACATTTGTAAAGAAACATCTCATATTAAGTAACATGAGCTCTTTAGTCCATCATGTAGATATGCCAGATTTAGTCGCAAAGGCTAATTTTCATCTGCAAATCATGACAGGTTGGCAGATATGAAACAAAGTTGTAACGTTTCAAACAATAAAGACTTTCTAAAAATACAGCAAAGAAAAAAAAAAAAGAAACTAGAGTAATAAGGTAAGAAATGAACTTATAACTTGTTTAAAAATTCTGGTCATATTTAAGACTAAAAGGCTTAAAATGAAGATGAATAAATTAAACACCGTTAAACACCTTACAGAAACCTTGAAAAAAAGAATAAAAATGAAAAGAGAGCTGGCCTCTAAAATCGATAGAACGTTCTTAATAATAAAACATTATCCTTATTTGCCCTCCTCACTCAAATCAAAAGGTTGGACATTTATGCATGAGTGACATCAACCCAGCAATTAAATTGGCCATTGAATGAGAGAAGGGCTTCATCACCTCCTGTGTTTGTTTTTTTCCCCTCTTCTCTCTTCCTTTTTTTCCCTATTCCCCCCTCTGTTTGATGATAGGAGAGGGTGAGCTCGAATTAGGGCGATGGGTCTTCCTTTGAGTGTCAGCCTAAAATGATCAGAGTAAAGATAAGAGGGTCTAGCAGCCCTCAAATCAGTCAAAGTGCCAAAGTCGGCCTTTTTCTCCTCAATTACCGGGTCTGTGAAGCCAGGGAGTGGAAGGCGCAGAGCCTGCTGCATTACTAAAGAGACAATCTATTTCCCCTTTGACCAGAGGGAGAGAAATCATTATGGCATGATTAGTAGCTTCGGCAGTGGGCGAGCATGGAGGTACTACAGGAGAACCGTATTAATTGCCTTAGACCAAGGCACGAGCAGGATTGTTTTAACGTTGATTTGTGGACCTGTATGACTAGCTGTCGGAGATAAAAGCCCGTGTCAGGTCTTAGTTATACTGGCAGACTTCAGGCGTACAGAATGAGAGGCTTGATGTCAAAAAGAGATTCTGTAGCAGGCCTGGAAGTCTTTCTCTATATGCCTGTCGATGTCTTCCTCTTTGTCTTTCTTCACACTTCATAGTTTTCCTTTACGCCTCCCACTATCCCTCCCTTAACTCTCCTCCCCCCCACACCCCCCCTTCCCTTGCATGGACTGCACCCCACCCCTTCCCACACTCCTGTTCTCTCCCTCCTCCAACTGATAGCTGCCTTGGCCGATTATTTCATCCAGTGCAGTCCACTGAGAGCTTCCTCTCCCGGCTTTGGAAGAGCTTTAATTAGCCATGTTAATATCCCCTTCATTGGCCTTAATATCACTCAACACCTTCCTCCATCTCGGCGGCCACCAGGGTCCCCCTGTCCTGTCAGAACAGCTGATTATTGAGAAGGATAGCTTTAATCAAACCTAATTGCAGTTCATTCTTTCCCTCTATCCCCCTTTGCCCTCCATTGCCAACATCTAATGGCAGCGACGACTTGATATCCCATTAAAAAACAATTAAACAACCTCCTTTTGTCTCTGTGCGTGCCAAAACACCAGCACAAACTTCTGTAGATATTTAAGAAGTACAGGAGAGAGAGGGGCCTTGTCTTAATTGCTCTCCTTTTCACCAAGGACCAATTTGCAGAGTACTCATGGAGAATCCTAACCAACTCAAATGTAATGAATGCTATAGCAGTTTGGACAATATAAATGAAGCCTCTTTTTAAGAGGAGAAGTTGTACTTAATTGCCTTCATAAGATTAAACATAAAGAAGCTGCTTTATTACTGTGTGGACATTAACTTTTTGTTTGCAGAAATTGCATGAAAAGGTATTGAAATATACAAGGAAAAGACAATGCAAAGTCTTTTTATGAAGTGAATACCTGAAAAATATGTTCTGTCTCAAGCACTGACATAAATTGTCTCTCAATAGGTGATGTACACACACACACACAAACACACACACATTCAAATACATGCATGCTCTATGAGGGGCGACAGACAAATAAAAGTCGTATTTCAGGTCTGCTTTCCGCAGATGTCTGCTGCTCTACATTATGACTCTTCTGGGAAATAAAAACAGGGTCAGGGAATTAGAGTACATAATGGTCATTTTGATGATCAGCCAACAGATGCAACCCGAAAAACACAGAGAACACAATCAAGTGAAACGCACTAATGACAAGTTAGGGTGTCTTTTTTTTTTTTTACAGCCTTGCCACACACCGACAGGCAATCAGCATTCTGGCATGGTTTAAAACATCTTTTATTGATGTTGAAGCCAAAGCTCCTTGGATGTGGAGGGAAAATATTTTCTCACCTCTGCTCTCCCTCCTGGGTCCACATTGGAGCACAAAAGTATAGGAGTCTATCGAAGAACACTTCTAAATGACCAGTGCATGTGTTAATGCGGCCAGGGTTAGAAGGGTCATTTCAGAGTCTGATTTATAGCCTGGCTGGAATCCCACTGGGTGAACGCAAAGTCTTAAGTGTTGTGAAAGCGTCCTCACAGGCCACACAAGCCACTGAATTTAGTTGAATGAAATGGCCGTGCAATCTATGGTGCAATCTATGGTAATCCAGTAAGACACAATGATTCTACAGACAAGTCATTTTTACAAAGGCAACCAGCATTGTATATAGTAATAACTGTGCAATGTGATGAAAAATAAATATGGCTGTGCTGTATTTTCTAATTGGAGCAACCAAAGGCACAATCAGTCAGGATCTGTGGTCGATTTCATTGTTTATTCTATGTGTAGAGTTCTTGCACAATGGGTTACAACTGAGATCATTTCTTGCACAAGTTTTCTCCAGTAAAATTTCAATCTTTAAGTATCTTGCATTGGGGAGGCCACATCTGAATAAGCACAGCTCTATATTTGCCCCCTTATCAATACGTCCAGCAAAAGAAGAGGGAAGCTGATGCGAGCTAAACCGGGCCCAGATCTCACTCAGACGTGACATTTGTTCAGACGCGATTAGCCAGGTTGTAATTTGTGGCATAATTGCCTCACCCAACCACAAGTACATGGGTGTGTGTATGCATTAGGTGTGTGCGCCTGTGTGTGTGGCATTTTGCGGTCCCAGGAGTGTCCGCCTAATTGCCTGACAGGACTATAAGTTTTGTGGCGCGCTCTCACCTTGTTAGGTCCTTTATCCCTGATGCTCTTCAAACAAGACCTGGTCACAGGTGGGCCTCATTTGCTTCCCTATTGAACAGGAGAACTTTAATTGCACAGGGGGTGTCCTGGGATTAAAGAGGTGGGTGGAATATCAAGTGACTTCCTGTATGTTAGTGGCAGATGGGTGTTGGGGTAGACCTGTGAACTCAGGTGAGATCACAAAGAAGCTGAAGCTCTTGAGTTAGAAAATAAAATAACATAAAAATGCTGTGGATGAATGAATGGATGCAGCCAGGAGTGTTTGGAGAGTTTCATTAAATAAGTAGTGTTTTTATTTTCTTTAAAGTATTTCACCTTTGTAAAGATAAGTCATCGTTTTTGCTTCTCTCTGTTCCTCTCTTTCAGATTCTTCCTAAAGTTCTTTCTCAAGTGCAATCAGAACTGTCTGAAAAATGCAGGGAATCCACGAGACATGCGCAGATTCCAGGTGACTGAAACCTATTTCACACATATGTTCTATTTCTGTCACTGTCTTTCACTGTCTGTCTCCCTTTTTCAGACACACACACACGCACAGGTGTAGAAATGTGCAGCTACAGCTGCTACTCTGCACTAACTCACCCTGACACAGATTCACATATGAACACATTCTTATTACTGGCACTGGAGAAAGCAGAAAAAAAAACAGAGGAAGAAAGAGTGAGGGATTTTGTGTCATGCGTGCCCTGGACAGAATATTTATTAGGGAATACCATCTGACACAAATAAGGATATAGGATTTAAGAGTGCCATCAATTGTGTTCCTGACAGCTTTCTGAGCCCCAGTGTATAGGGGAGAAGATCCAACCACATGTAACAACAGTGTTAACTCAGGATCTGTCTGGCAGAGGAAATGCATACCTTCTTGCGCACTCATATGCACGGGCACGAACACATATGGATGCATGCACATAAACGGAGCGCATGTGTTTGCTTTTTTTGTGTCCATTTCTACTTCTAAGGCCCATGTACACATGCTTAATGCCAGTCATGCAGCTCTAAGAATGGGAAAAGCAGGCTCTGAAAAAACGTGAACACATGAACAGAGTGATTTTAGTGCTTCTTTTCCCACAAACTTCTGATCTGTCAGAGAAGTAAAGACTAACAGCGATTGACCTCTCCTGATCCATTTATCCAACCATTCATCCATCCTACTGAGACATTTTCAACACAAACAGCCCACTAGGTCAAGGTGAGACAGCAAGAGTAAGTGTGATTTGTTCTATCACGGTAACTACAAACTACAGGAGAGCGTCCGTCACTGGCAGCACTATGCAGTGATAGACATATGAGGCGGCATCCTCCAGGAGGAAGCCCAGACGTGAAACAGACAAGACAGGGTGTCCCCTCCTGATGTCACGGCCATCAAACCTCCCCTGCCTCCTCAAATCTTCCCTCAGGGTGAATGTGGACTGATGCGTGACAGCCACCATGGGTTTTTACCCCTCACGATATAGTGGCTGGAAGAAATGCAAGAACCAACTTTCATTTTTTTTAGGTTCTGAAACAAAAGGATATATTTTTTATTTTAAAAGATGATGATCGTAACAGTTAGGATGCCATTACCCCCCTAATGGATTTCCCAGATGTTTCTGCATAGGTATTTCTCTGGCCAAAGTTGTGTATTTTACATGCCTTAGACTCTACTTATTACCCCCCAAAACCAGCTGGAGGCCAGAAAGGGCCCAATCCATCATCCTCTGCTTGGCCCAGCTCTGAACCTGCTCACAAGAATGGAGCTCTTTCACTTCCCCTTCTCCCTCTACTCCCGTTTACACCCCCACCTTTCCCAAACCAACCAAAAAAGGACCCCCCCTAAATTCCAGCACCACGCCGAGGTCACTTACCGGCGAAGCAAACCTGAGAGGGGCTCTCTCTTTCCGGCTCAGAAAACACTTCAGCCATTCACAGGCAGGCCTGCTTGTTTGGAATGCGGTGGCCAAAAAACAACAACAAAAATAAGCGTTATAAAATATGGAGTGTGGTTTGGAATATGATACTGGTAAAATGTTTGCTGAGCGATGGGGATGGCGTACGGCCTGGATGTTAATGACTCCGGTAATATTTTAAAAGGAACGGCCTTCCATGCTCAGGGTTGGTGGGATACTGATCAATATTTTTGAGTGTCAGTCACGATGGGAGTTAGTGGAGTGGATAAATGGAAATGGTATTCAAGCAATTAAATAGTCAATTTAAAAAAAATGCAAAACATAAAAAAACAGAAATGAAGAAGATTGCAAAGTGATATTATTCAAAAGGGGTAATCATTCCAACAGGTGTAACAACAGTTAGAAAGGTATGCTCCTGACCAGGAAGAAATTCATTTTCCTTCAGTTTTTTACTCATTTTTTTTAAATTAGAACTACAAACTTCATGAAATTCATTGGAATATCATGAAATACACCAAAACAAGTTAAAAATAATGAAGTAGAGGAAGAATAATATAGACATGTTTAGCATGCATCTTTTTTGGTTGAATCAATAACATGGTGTTAGTGTGTATGTTTCTATCAGATCTCTCAAAACAAAATTTTTTTTTTGCAGAAAAACTAACTTAAAATAATATTTTTTTTTCTTAATTTGTTAAAGGCAGTCACTCTAGGACTTTGTGAAATCTGAATATGCAGGCATACATTCTTCATGCAACTGTATGTTTGAGGTTGCTGTCCCTCTGGAAGGTGATACCCCTTCCCTGGTTTTGCATGTTTTGCAGCCTCCAGCTGTTTGTTTTTCTTCCAGGATGGCCCTTCTTTAAGCTCCCTTCATACCAATTGACTATGTCCCACAGCATGATGCTGCCATAAACATGCTTCATCCTCAGGATGCTGTGTTCGGGGCTATGTGGAGTTTCCAGATAAAAATTCAAATATCTAGTTTTTGCTACTGTACAATTATGAATTGTTTTGTAGCAGTCCATTAAAAAGTACTCCATTAAAGTCTGTGGCTATAATGTGATCAAATGTGAAAAGGTGCTGTGTGTATTTATATTTTAAAGATATACAATGATGTATGCAATATAGATTTCACAGTTCGAATCCATAGCCTGTATCTGCTACATCAAATCTTCTTTGTGCTTCCCTTGCAGGTTGTCGTATCGACGACCGTCAACGTGGACGGCCATGTTTTGGCCGTTTCTGACAACATGTTTGTGCACAACAATTCCAAGCATGGGCGAAGGGCTCGCAGACTCGACCCTTCAGAAGGTACGCCTCCTTATCTGGAAAATGGTAGGCACATTTTTACATCTTATAATTTGCTACGCTCATTTTTTTTTCTATTAGTTTCTTCTTTTTTATTTTTTACTTCCAGTTTTTAGATCACACACCCATAGCTCCTTATTCTTCCTTTAGAATCAATAGACTCTCAATCATCTCATTTTTTTTTTTTTACTTTTGAAGTTGCTTCTCGCTTCCATCCCACCTTGTGTGATGTGGTGCCTGGAAATACTATGCAATATGCAGAGTGTTTATCATTTAAATACTGCAAGTGACAACCAATAAAGAAAAAAAAATGTTATCCTACCAATTCCGTAATGCACCTACATTTGTCCTAAAAGCCACTTTGAAGCATGATCAAATTGCTGAAGAATTTGGCTATGAGGTCAATTTCCTGCCATTGGGGTTCTGTAGATTTAGCTGAGTGAGAGTTGAAACAGGGAGAGAAAAGAAAAGACAGAGGGCGGGGGCGGGGAGGGGGGCGTCTGCAGCTGATACTGAATGTGTGTGCGTGGGTGCATGGAGGAGTGGGGTGGCCTATGCGAAAAACAGAACTTACTGTTTTTCCTCCAACTGATTCCATATGATAGACTGATTGCCTTCTCAGCCAAAAGAGAGAAAAGTGGGACCACCAAACCATGGGAAATCCAAAAAGTTAAATGTACCAAGTGTAACCTTTCGACCCTTGTGGCCCTCACTTATGGATAGAAGCAAAACGTGCAGCTGAAATGCTGTAAAAAAGAGAAGAGAAAGCTGACTTAGACATTCCTGCAATTGCTTATATTGAAAATTCAAGAGCCAATTATGGCTAGGCAAACAGTTTATATATATGCCACAGACTAAAACAAGCTTCTCTACACATTAATGGGCATTAATGCCTCTGTGACCAAAAGCAAATGTAATGTTTAATACAACAACGACAAATACAGAAAAAAAAAAAGAAAAAACATAGACAATTAATATATCTCGATGCTCTCTAGTCCTAGTGGGGGAAAAAGCTAATCTATTTGTTTTTGTCTTTATTAATGACTCCTCTACTCGAGAACAAAATCAAATAATTAAAGTCCTGCCCGGAGCACCAAAGTCATTATGTTCACTGACGTTCTGTTTGTGTGTTTCACGTTTATGACACGATAGGTGTGGATCGCCTAGCAACCAGTTTCTTAATGAGGAGAGCAATTAAAGAGGTTGAGCCCTTGCCTCCGTGTTCCCCCGCTCCCATGAGACCCTCTGTGTGTTATGTGTGTGTGTTTGTGCGTGTATGGGTTCTTTACAGGTTACCCCAACCCATCCTTTTATTCTCCTCTTCACTGCACTCTTCAAAGCAGAAGAGTGACGCCCCGTAAAGCACGAAAAGAAGCAATTGTCAACCGCCCAGTTGAACATGTCTTTGTCTAATAACTTTAATACACCTTCCCTCTTCTTTAGAAGTTGAGATGTGTTTTTTTTTTTCCTCCCAGGCTCAGCTCTGCAACAAACTAATTTATTATGCATCAACAGCGATGGCTCACTTTGTTTGAGTCACCTTTAACAAACAGAGATGTGGCACAGGAGGAAAAAAAATGAGAGGCGGTTTTATAAAACGGAACTCCAGCCTTTTTCTCCGTAGCTGCTCTGACAACTTGGAGGCAAACAGACAGACAGCGTGCTTTAAATTAGCAACACATTCTTCCTCTGGAGTTCACAGGGCGAGAGGCTTTCAGCTTTTGTGGCTGTCTGACTGGCTCAAGCAGGGATGCATCATTTCAATCTGCAGCTCAGGCTCAAGAAGTGCTGCCCCCTATTGGTGCCGGGAGGGGAAAGCACCTAGATGACAGACTGAATCTTGCCATGTGACATTTTTGTTCACTTGTGTGCTCTGTCACACAACAAGCATATTATGCATTCAGACATGAATGTGCTTTGAGGCCCGCTGTCACTCAAACATGTATGGATTCAGGCTCAAAGGTGCATAAACATGCTCACAAATAGCTGAGTCTCTCACACACAACAACCCCCCCCCCACGACACACACACAAAAATACAGAAACGCTCTCACTCACTCACCCACACACAAATACAGACATATACTCATGCACACACGTTCCTTAGCTCAGTTTCACCATTATAGAGCCCCAGACAATATAGGAGACTTAGCATAGGGCCTGCAGCTCCTGACTCATTTGCATGCCAAGTGGCTGTAATGCTGTTAGGGTTTATGCAATAAAGACAAGCGAATCCAGACCGCCGGGTCTAAGAGGTAAAAAAAAAAAAAAGAAGAAGAAGGGAAGAAGGGGATAGAGGAAAAAGAAATAAGAGAAGGAGAGAGACAGAGGGTGAGACAGCAAGAAAGAGAGACAGAAGAGAGAGTCAAAGGGAACAGATGGCCCAGGGAGAGGTAAAAGGTATAATCCCATCAGCTGCACTATCAACCGACCATCTGGACATCCCACAGCCCAATTACAACACATTTCAGCAGGCAGAACAAAGGACGGCTTCACAGGGCCACATCAGACCTGTTTGAGTGTCACTATACCAGAGCCAGAAGCTCCTCCACTCAGATCTTGTATCGGTTTTGACGTCCTCCGTGGCTAACGCTAAACTGAGAAAGAAAAAGATGAAAAGCAGGTTAAAAAGTTGCAGCATGTTGTCATTTTTAAGCATAAAATAACCTGCTGTGTGTTTAAGTAGAGGACTGTCTTGAAATTTGTAGTTTTAAGCCCAAAGTTTGTAAAAAACAAACAAACCCAAAGACTCAGTGACCCATCAGATAGGCTCACTGCGTCCTCCTCTGTCCATTTTGACTGATGTCTATCAAGGGGTGGCGGGTGGGTGCGTTGGGGGGGGGCTGTGCGTGTCTGTCATCACATCGGCTGTGCTGACTGTGTAATCCACTTTGCCACGGTCCCCATTCAGCACATGCTCCCCGCTCTGACTGTGCATTGAGACATATGCAAATTTTCAGGCAGAAGGGTGGACGGCTTAGAGCCTCAGTCGCTGCCTCGCCATGGGTCCTCCTGCGTGTAGGAGTGGGTTTTGGGGGGCAGGAGGTGGTTAGCCATTGCTGGGATTTCCAAGGTGGTGTGTGTCTACGTTCGTGTCTGTGTGTGTGCGTGACTAAGCGCAGAACGTCGTAGGTTTCAGGCAGCAGCTGCCCCCCCTGAAAAGTCACCGTCACCATCAGGCACTCTTTTTGCCCCCCCTTCTCCCTCCTCTCCTCCTTTCGTTCTCTCTCATCCCCAAAGTCAATTTGTTTACAGTAATTTTGAAGGGTGAATTATTTGCTGTAATCGTCCGCACTGATGAAGGTCAGGCCCTTAGAGGGGGCCCCGGCATGCCCATGGAGGGTTGGTCCTCTTTCAGACGCTCTGCTTCGCAATTAAGGAAAGCAAATGTCACTCCTCCAGGCCTCACAAATGAAAATCTGTACGAGGTGATTAGCATGAAGTCAACAGCGCCTGTTAAAGTCAGATTCCCTGTAGTACCAATGTGTGTGTGCGCACGTCATGGGCAGGGAGAGAGAGCAAACATGACCTGAACAGACCCAACAGCAAGGCAAACAAAGGGAGATGTCTTGTCTGAGGTGATCCATACAACAATGGCTGACTGTGATTTACTTACTGGATGGAAGGGATAAAGGAGGTTTAGAAGTGAGCTTGCAGAAGGAGCGAAGAAGGAAAGAAAAACAAAAAAAATTGAGGGAGAACTTGCAGGAATAGTTGCACGCATCTGAGCAGCAGGAAAAACATGCACATTTCACATTGTATTATAAGATATTGATGAAAATAGATTAAATTTGATATTGCTATTTTATGGCAAGCTGTCATGCTATTTCTGTTGTAAACACAGTGTTTTGCCGAACGCCATATTAAGGCAATGCATCAAGTGACAGTGAAAGTGAGGCATAAGATCACTCAAATTAGATTATAATAACAACTCCCACTGTTGATGAATGGCAGAGCCTCACAGCAGAAGTCATGCCAGATGAAAAGCATTGTAATAAACAATATGAAATGGATTGAATCGATCACAAAAAGAAAGCAAAAAAAAAAAACTCATTCTGAATAATTCATGAGCGCATTCCACGTTATGAAACCTGAACCTATCCTTAGTGTGCCTTCACTGTATCGTAGAACAAAGGTAATGAAATAACATGAAGCAGCAAAGCTTTAGCTTGTCATTTCCACGTCTTGACTCATTTAAGATGTGTTCAGCTTTAAAATTTTACTGTACATGTCCGTGCATGCTTAATCAATTCTGATAGCTACATTTGCCCTGACACATAATTTGCTCCATCAAATAATTTTCCTGGTGAGCCTGGGCGTTTAGCCTTTGTGAAGTGGACCATTTGAAGGGTCTGCTTAACTAAACCACTCCACCAGGCTGATAAATGATTTTGATTCTCATGCCTTAAAGGACAAATCCATCATTTTTTTTTTTTTTTTTTTTCTGGAGGCAATTTCCATGATATGTCTTTGTGGGAGAGACATGCTGGGCTTAAGGTGGAGGTGATTCAGTAACGTGTCTGATTGAAAAGAGACATGTGCTGGAGTGTCAAAGCCTATGTGCTGAATTTGCTCTTCTCTTTGTCTTGGATAAGCAGCCACCCCATGCATCAAGGCTATCAGCCCCAGTGAGGGATGGACCACCGGAGGAGCCACCGTCATCATCATCGGTGACAACTTTTTCGATGGTCTACAAGTCGTGTTCGGCACCATGCTCGTATGGAGTGAGGTATGATATAACATTTCCTTATAGAAAAGTTGTTAAAAGGGTTTAGAATTTTAGGACTGAGTTTCTGTTCAAAGGGTTATAAGTAGATATCTTGGTTTTTTTTAATTAGTATTACATCCATCGTAGTTATCCCATAAACCTGACAGATGGTAAATATTTATAAGAATAACAGAAATAGCAGTTTTTATGCTTTCAAAGAATCTCTGATGAGAAACTAACATGTATTTCAAACAGAAATATCATTCAAACCTTTGTATAAAATAAACACTAAATGCAACTGTGGTGATTTAAAGCTTATTCGAACAGGGTTTGCATGAATAAATTAGAGCTGATTTAGACTGATGACCAGCAGTTAGTGTCAGCTTCCAGAATCAGGACTTTTTCCTACACTAGATTTTTTACTTTTTGCATTGAACATAAAATTTCTGACATATTCTTTTTCACAGCAACTTATAATTTTTTTTTCTCCTCCTCTGCAATCCAGCTGATAACTCCCCACGCCATCCGTGTTCAGACTCCCCCTCGGCACATCCCCGGCGTTGTGGAAGTCACGCTGTCCTACAAGTCCAAGCAGTTCTGCAAAGGTGCCCCTGGGAGATTTGTCTACACTGGTGAGTCACAACCTTCTCTTCCTGTCTTTCTTTGTCTTTTTACAATCGATTTGACTATAGACTCCAACTCATAAAAAAAACGCACCCAACAAGATTTTGTGACTGATTCTTATCTTTGTTTTTTTCCAAAGCCTAACCAAAGATGATTATGGTTGATGTGGATAATTACAATACAAAATGATAAAAAAGATACATTAAGGATTTTTCTTCCTGCTTGTCTGCCATGAGCAGCTGAAATTTGTTTCAAGAGCAAATTTAAACATCACACCATGCAGTGGAGGGAGCAGTCAATATAAACAAGGTTTTCCTGTTATTTCCAAAGACAAAAGAATCACAGATTTGTTAACAATTACACGATTTTCAATTCAAGAATAGAATTGCAGACATCTGTCGGCATCTTATCCAAAATATAGATTCTTAGATCTCTTCACCGCCTCTGGATTCATTATAAAAAACCTCACTGATACCATCAACAACTGACTTTGAGAATTTTCTGATTGATATAACAGCAAATTTTTCTATGCTTTTTCTAAAATGATTTGGTTCGCTGAATGTGAAGTATGTAAGATCTGGTCAGGTACCATGCTTTATTAAAACCAAGCCATCAAGAGAAATCTTTCTCCTAATCGTTTATATCTGCCATTTAACAGATTAGGTCTGAGCTTAAATTGCTTAATTTATAAGTCAAATGCGTTTTCACTTTTTTATGAATCAAATAATAACGTCTATAACTAGCTTAAGTGAATGATCGTGTCTGAAGTTATTCTCATGTGTGATCGGCATGAATTTGTAGGAGAAAGTGTGGGAAGAGAGGGTGAGAGAAAGCGGGAGCACGTGTGTCACACTATGAGTAAAAGATCTGATTATCTGGCCTAACAGAAGGAAGTGGTGGTCTTATCTGTCATCATTGGTGAGTAGACAGAGGTTGTGAGGGTCAGAGCCTGTCTGACCTGGAAGCCTCTGTCTGTTCCAACTCTAGTGTGGAGAATGAAATCCCCCCCTCCCTTCCAGCTCAAGTGAAGCTCTGGCCTTGAGCACAGCAAGGCCAAATTTTAGCTCCGCCAGCCCCCCCAAAAAAATATCCCAATCCAGACCCTTCAATCCTGGAGCAGCTGTTTCTCATCAAGTCCCCCTTGCTCTGATTCCCCAGAACTACCACCCCTCCCCAGAAGCAGCCATTGGTCCCCTTTTTCCTCCAACCGTGCAGTCTGGCCCAGCTCTCCTGCGTTTAACCTCCCTAGCAGGAGCGGAGCAGAGGCCAACAAGGCACCGGGATAATGAAACAGGAGTGCAGTGTGACTGCGTAAGTGTATGTGTGTGTCTGAAAGTGAATGAAAGTGGGGGAGAAAGTGTGAGTGCGAAGGAGTCTCTATGTGTGTGTGTTACTAAACAGCCCCAAGAAGGTGTATAAGTTAAGACATTAATGGCTTCTATAGCACCATAGTGAAAGTGCCAGGTCCCTTAAGAACAGACCCCATTAGTCACAGAGGCTAAGCGGATTGGGATGATTACCATCAGGTTTTACTGGAGAAATGTGTCCCCTTCCTTCTATCTTTGTTGATTTTTCTCCCCCCCCCATTCTTCCACTCCGTCTTTCCCATCTCATTCTCACTTCTAGTTAGTATTAAGATACAATTACCCCTGGAGGCAACGGTGGTGCAATTGATTAGTGTGGTGAATTAAAAGAGAAAGTCACCAACTGACAAGTCCGACTCCTTTGCTTCCATGCTCCAGCCATGGCTCGCTGTGATTGCGCGATGGGGGTGAAGCTTACGAGAATTAAACCGCTAAAGGCAGCCCAACGCCTGAATTAGGTGTCGCTGATTCCATATGTAGAGTAATTGCGAGGGAAAAAGGATGTTAGCTACTTCTCTTGGAGATTAAAAAGCAAATTGACTGCGGGGAGAGTGGATTCTGTCTTTAAAAATGAAACAGCTCATTTTAAGACCACAGTTTTTCCTTTTTCTTGCGCAGCACTTGAACACATGGCCTACACACAGAAAAAGATTGGAACTACACGAGCAGAAAAGGGCATGCAGTGACACAGTGCTGTCAAATACGCACAAAACCTTACCGCAGAGCAACCCATGCATATCAGAGTTATCAAAGCCTTCGACCTCAGAATGCAACCTGAGGAGTGGGGGATAATTTTTTGTTCCGTCATGTTGACTGCTCACTTCCCACCGCCCTAATTGTGGAGATTTAGCTCGGTCAATTTAAGAAATTATCACAAATTACCAAGAGTCAACACAGAGGAGACTGCAGTCGATTTGAACAGCAAAGGGACACGTCCTCAGTCAGGTTAGCACCCTGGATCAGCTCCAAAACTCACAATCCATTCTCAGAAAGAGAGTATCCTGTAGCGTATGTCAAATAATCCTGTCTGCATTGACTATTGAATGCTTAAAGCACTAATGAGACAAACAGACAGACCATATAAAACGTAACTAAGCTGTAGCTGAGTGCTTCAAGGAGCCTATTTATGTTCTTTAATTGACACTTTTTTAAAGGAACGAGAAGCTATTTTTGTTTGTTTGCAGCTCTTTAAAAGAGCCTTGTCCCTTGGAGCTTACATGCTTGTCCTCTGTCTAATCCATGTATTGGTTATCTATTGGTCAGGACAGGAGTGGTAGAACCAGCTGTCAGCAAGGTTGTTGAAAAATCAAAAGGAGAAAGTCACGGCTGCACCTCAGTCAATATTTTACTTTACTTTACACTTCATAAGGTACTTAAAACAGAAACAAAATTGGTTCAGTCAAATATCATAAAATAAAAGAAAAGCTCAGATTTGTTGCCTCCTTACCTTTTTTTTAGCTTATAAAGATGTGCGAAAGAGTGAATCATAAATAAATATCTGACTGTAAAATCCTTCCAATTTAAACTCCTAATTGCATCAGAGCCTTTGTTTTTGTTTTGTTTTTTTTTTTATCTTGGCCAAGTTTCCATGAAGAACTCCCTTTCAGGGGCAGCAATGCAGGCCTGTGGTAATATGGTTCTGCGAGCAGTCCTAACACACTCAGCCGCTATTTATCCTAATCAGTGACATCCACATAACCAGGATTGCTTAAAATGAACCCCTTCCGCGCCCCAGAAAACGCACATTTACCGGGACCCCATTTGTCATGGGTAAATTGAGGGTCAGTAAACTTCGCCTGTATCCTCCAGTGGGGATCCAGGACATGCATCATAACGTTAGGAGAGAATGATTGGCGAAGGCGAGCTGTCACATATTTGTCAGGGGGAAGGGAACATTATTTGCTAATTTCCCAAGCTAGGCACTGACAGGGTGCTTCGTCTTCAGACCTTTGGTGACCAGCATGGCTTCCCAGCTATTAGTACAAGTCAAGTGTTTTTCTTTTTTTTCCCTCCTCCCACTGTAAAGCGGCAGTAATAAGAGCCATTCGTCCGACCTCACAAGACTGTAGCACACTGGGTGAAGGATTTGGGATGAAGCAGATGCCCCCCATACAGAGAGTTGCTCTTGCCAGGCCTTAGTTGTGGCCAGACAGCCTTGAGGGCTGATGGATCACAAAGTTTCCTTGTCAAGGTGACGCTATCGACTCCACTGCACCAAAATCTGACAAAATGGGTATGAGGCAGCCATTCATCAACATAAGGACAAAGGGGTCATGTGTGCTTCACTCAATACGGGTGGAGATCAAGAAATGTCAACCCTGCGAGGGAGTAAAAAGGAAGAGGTAGATAGTGCAGAAGTGGGATCTCTATCTAGATAAAATGTCTTGACAAAGTGTTCATACCACTTCAATTTGTCACTTTGTCAATTGTCACTTTGCAACCTAAACATTCTAAGTATTTATTAGGGATTTTATGTGATACAGCAATATAAAATAGTAAAAAATGGAAAGGTAGGGAATTTACTTTATAAAATGAGTTCTAAAAGTAAAAAGACTATTACAAACCTATCAAGATGTGGCATTCTGGCTAAACTAATAGGCCATGCAAATAAAGTTTTTCATTATGGCAGTAAAGACAAATATTGTGTCTTTGGTAGAGATGGAAAACTAAAAGCGTAGTGGGAGAATCTAGGTATAAATCAAATATCAGCCAAGTGCTCCCAAAATCTTGTCTTTATGGAAATATAAAACATTTTGACACATGCACACTAACTACAAAACAGCAATGAAAGGGAGGCCTTGTAAAGTTCAAGAGAAGATGAGCTCAGAATTGTCCTTGGCTAGACGCATTGGTTGCTGCAACACTGGAGACCAGGTTGGAGGTTCACTTTTCATCAGGACAACTCTAAAAGCAAAACAAAAGCTATGATGGACTAGTTTAGAGCACAGTGTATACATCTGTACAATTGCCTAGTCAAAGTCAAGACAAAAACATGCATTTCGTTTAATGTGCCTTAACTGTTTTGCAAGGAATAAGGAAATACTGAGGACTCTAGATGTGCAAAGGTGGTAGAAAAATATCCTCAAAGGAGTTTGGTTTCCATAGTAAACAGTGTATATTTTCTTTGGCAAGGCACCTGAACTTCAGCCTTATATCTTAAATGTACTAATGCAAAAACACATACTTATGCTTGGGAATTCCCTGCATTTTAGCGAACAGGCCTTTTTTGTCAAGGCTATAAATAGTACTATCCAAAAAATCAAACACTTCCTGTTCCTGTCGTGGAAAGTGTAAAAAAAATGTAGCGCGGTTCTAGACCCTCCTCTCTTCTAAAAATAAATAAATAGATAAATAAACAACTACAGACATCTTTATCGGTGCACATCAGATAGGCCCCTGTTCTGTCCAGCTGGTGAATTGAGCCTATCCTCTCCGCCCTGCCGTCACTTTGAAGTCCTAGACTTACAAGCTGATTAGATGGAGAGCTTCCTTTTCATTTCCTGTCCTGCAGGGCTGGGTTTGGTACTTCACTAGTGACTGGTCAGTGATGGGGTGTGGCCTACTGAAAGATATGTTATAATCAAAGGCATTCAAGGAGGTATGTAAACAGATCAACTTCTGAAGAGGAAGTACAAATACACACT